GTGACCATCTTTGTAGAAATTGCCCTTTCTTTCTTAATGTCTGGAGTACCTTCTTTCCGCAGGGAACGATTGGCCCTAATAGTGCCTTATTCAAGTGGATCAAAGATAATTGTGTGAGTAAGATCAAGTGTCCTACTATTCCCATTCCTTGGGGTACAGTTTTTAGCTTTATTCTTTGGAATATTTGGCTGCAAAAAGACAAAAAACTTCACTCTCCCAGTGACTTCAAACCGAATCGTATTATCTACACCATTCGAGAAAGGGTCTTTAAATTCTACTCGAGTTTTCCCATGCCTTCTCCTGAAAGGATTCAAAGGGAACCTAAGCTGATTTGTTGGGAGAAACCTCCAAAGGGATACTTTAAACTCAACACATATGGCTCTACTCATGGAAATCCAAGCCCTGCATCTACTAGTGGAGTTATTAGAGATCATATGGGTAGATGGATCTCCGGGTTTGCATGCAAGATTGGATATACTTCAAGCCTGCGTGCTTAACTTTGGGGGATTAAGGAGGGCCTTCTTCTTGCTTATTAAAGGAACATCCACAACTTAATTGTGGATATCAACTCTATGGTTGTTACACAATTATTATGCAGTGGTATTTCATCTCATCATCCTTTTTACACCCTTATTTTGGATTGCAGGCAGATTTTGTCTAGAATCCCTTGGACCAATATTCAACATGTGTACAGGGAAGCTAATCAATGTGCAAATGCTCTGACTAGGATGGCTCATTCACAGCCTCTGGATTTTGTTATTTTTTATTGTTGTCCTCCAAGACTTCTTTTGTATTATGAGGCTGATATGGTGGGAACCTGTTTTTCTAGGCCTTAGTGTATTTTCTGTCTAGCTTTTAATGCAATTTTCTCTTTTACCAAAAAACATATGTACACAAAAGAAATCCATTTACATATAAGTTTAAGATATTATATTTATATAAACTTTTAATTATTTATCTTTTTATTTTTAATAATTGAGATTTATCATAACTTTTTAAATAAAAAATTATTATTTTTAATAAATATAAATAAATCTCAACCATTGAAAGTTGAAAAAAATATATAGTTGAGATTTTGTGTAAGTATAATTTGTAAAATGTATGTATAAGTAGATTTTTACTCATATTGGTATATCAAATAATGAATTATACAATAAAAGATAGTTCTTCTATTCACTTAATCCTTCTTCATTCATTTTAAAATTTGAGTTTAAAATCTCTAATTTAGAATATTAAATTCTCAACTACTTGAAACACATTTTAAGGATTTTAATTGATATAACATCATATATCACTAAATATATTAGTAAAAAATAGGTATTAAATTTAAATATGAGCTAATAATTTTAAATATTATATTTTAAAATTTATAATCCAAATACCATAAATTAAAAATATAAATCACTAGCATTATATTTTCTCAAATAAAAATTTGCCACTACGTCACCTTTAATTTAATCACAAAATTTTCATTTGGGAATGAATAGGCTCAATTCATTGTTTAAATTCATTTTGTTAAGCACAAACTTCTTTTTCAATTGAAAGTTAAAGAATATACTCTATTAAAACATTTTTTTTTTATGTTGGTTACACAATGAGAGGCAACTCTCTTCAATCCCATATCCTACTCCACCCACATGTCATGCGACTTGAACTCATGATCTCTTATTTTCAACGGAAGAAGATTACCACTGAACTATTTAGGTTGTTGTCATTCCATTAAAACATATGAATAGGCTCAATTTTTGCTTTTCTTTATATGTAGTTCTTATTTAATAATTTTATAGGATTAAAAATTTTAATATTTATTTATATGAATGATAACATTTTATGTAAAATTAATATTCGAAAAGTCAAATAGAAATAATTGAAGTTCAATGGTAGTAAATAAATAATCAAAATTTAATCATCATAAGGGCATTATTGGCTTTAATGCAT